CCCGTGTAGCCGACCTAGGACTTCAGGCCATAGTTGTGAGTGGCACTGCCAGAGTTACCGTTGCTGCCTGTAGGGTGGGGAAAATACAAGATTTCCCGCAAAAGGTGAATTTCAAATGAACAGCAACTTACTTTTGGGTGAGAATAGCCCAGATAACACTTGGTATCTGAGATTCCTCATTTACCCGTGTATCCTGTGCTTCTATTCTAGAAATTAAGGCGTCTTGATCAGGAACCTTTTACACTCTTAATAAAAATTTTTTTTTTCGACTTGGAGTCTGAGGTGGTGACTGGATAAGTGCATTTCTTCTGAAGGAAGCTTATGGGCCTGAGTTTGATCGCCAGTGCCCACATAAGACAGGTGTGTTAGGGCTGGACAGTGACTGACACTAGAGCCTACTCAGTCTATGAAACTTTTTTTTTGGGGGGGGAGAACAATGATTTTTTTTAAGAATTTATTTATGTATACAACATTCTGCTATGTTATGTATACATAAATGTTATGTATACAACATTCTGCTTCCGTGTATATCTGCACACCAGAAGAGGGCACCAGATCTCATAATGGATGGTTGGGAGCCACCATCTGGTTGCTGGGAATTGAACTGAGGACCTCTGAGCCATCTCTCCAGCCCGAAACTTACTCTTAACATTATCACTTGACGTACTTTACTTTTGAATATAGTGCTCCTGAACCCCCAAAAGAAATTCTAAGAAATTCCTATACTAAGAGCATTCAGACAGCAAAGAGCTGAAATACCAGCTTGGATTCATGAGATTAACTTGTCAGTGACTTATTTTACTTGGGCCAGTGTGGTAGTGCTGTGCCAGGTCTATGTGAGGGGTTTATGAGTTAGTAGGCCAGTTGGGTTAGAAATTAGCAATGTACAGAAGTATTCCCATCGATTTTTGCTCATAAGTTAACACTATAATGAAAATTTTTTTCAATTTGGTATGACACAGTAGGGTTCAGAGCTGGGACATTTGTATCTTTTATGGATCAGCATAGGTTTTACTTATTTGCATAATGAACAAGCAATTCACACCTTCCTGACATTTAAAATAGTGTATAGTAGCATAAGTGTTTCCAAACAAGATTACTGGGGGTTGCACCGAATACTGTTTTGATTAGGAGTAATTACTAAAATATCTATATCTTTTCCTCTGTGAACTTTGGCTTGAGGAACTGGACACACATCTTTAAATCACCTCAAAACTAGTAATTCTCTGGGAGAGTCATTAGCAAAACCAGACATAATATTCACCTGGAAAACAGACTTTGATTCATTTGAAAGGATAAGCCTAAACATTGGCTAAGATTGCTGAAGTTCCCTGGGAAACAAACCCAAGAAATGAGGGAAATCATTGGTACTGATTACAGGTAAATAAAGGTTTTATTGAGTTGACAGACTGCATTTTTGATAGTGTTTTGTTGTTTTTTGTGTCATATATGTATACGTGTTATGTGCATGAACACATGCATATATGTGTGCATATATGAACATGTGTGTGGAGGCTAGAGGTTGACATTGGGGGGGGGGGGGGGCTTTTTTTTTTTTTTGGTTTTTCAAGACCGGGTTTCTCTGTGCAGCTTTGGAGCCTGTCCTGGCACTCTCTCTGGAGACCAGGCTGGCCAAGATCCGCCTGCCTCTGCCTCCCGAGTGCTGGGATTAAAGGCATTAACGCCACCAACGCCTGGCTGGGGGGTGGGCCTTGCTCAATCTCTGTCCACCTTTTTTTGACAGTCTTTCCCTGAACTTGGGGCTTACCAATTAGCCTAGACTGGCTTAATCATCAAGGCCCAGGAACCCTCCTGTCCAAGTTGCTCCAGGTCCTAATCTCCTAGTCTAGCCTTTTACATGGATGTTGGGAATTTGGATTCAGGCCCTCAAGCATTCATGGCATGCACTTTACTGACTGAGCTATCTCATCAGCCCATTTTGGGGGGTGGGGACAGGGTGGGACAGGATCTCACTGTATCCAGGCTCTTCTGGCACATGCTATGCAGTCCAGACTGGCCTCAAGCCTGCAGTGTTCCCATCCACGGCCTCTGAAGTACTAAGATTACAGGTGTGAGCCACCTCACCTAACACCATGTATCATTTTGGCTTTGACTTTAAAAGCAATGCTGTTTCTTGTGTTTTCTCAGAAACTAGTGATGAGATTGCAGATACCACATGATTCGGAGACACGAGGTTTATGCTGAGCATTGAGAGATCACCCCAGTGTGGCATTTTAGAAAGTCCTTGGAGTAAATGGTACAGTGGTTCTAATAGTAGGTAAAAGAATTATGCTCTGTGGAGGAGTTAGAGGTTCTGTGACCTGCCCATCACAGGGTCTCAGGGGCTCAGCAGGAGGTTGGATTTTTAATTCTGAGGTTTATTTTCCACTACTCACACCTGACTACTGAGGCAGTAAATTATTTTTTCCTTTCTATTTATTCTTCTCTTACACAATACGTTCTGATCAGCCTCCCCTCCCTCTCCTCCTCCCAATTCCTGTCCCACCTCTCCTTTCCCCCAGATCTTGTTTCTTGTGTTTTCTCAGAAACTAGTGATGAGATTGTAGATCTCATCTATCTTCCATTCCCCTTCAGAAAATAAAAAGCAGCCCTCCCAGAGATATCAACTGAAAATTTACAAGAAGACTAGGCATAAACCCCCATATCAAGACTGGACTAGGTAACCCAGCAGGAGGAAAAGGGTCCCAAGAGCAGGCAAAAAAGAGTCAGAGATACCCTCACTCTCACTGTTAAGAGTCTCGCAGAAATCCCAAGCTAAATAACTACAGCAAAACCTATGCAGGATCCATGAGTGCAAGAAGGAAATCCAGTTCACATGACTTAGTTAGCTGGTGTTGGTTCAAATGTCCAGAGTCTGACCCTGGGAGGTTTGTGTGAGCCCTATTTAAGCACAGCACAATTTTAGGAAAACATTTCATGATGCTAATTAGCTCTATTCCATGTGTACAACAAAGGTTAAGATGTTTCTACACTGACACTCTTTACAAAGTACACACGGCCTTGTCAGTAAAGATGGGTTCTGTTGACTCTAAACAGTGCTCAGAATAAGAGTCTAAGGGATAATGACTGGGGCAAACACAATAAGCCTGCAGGAGTCAAGATCAGCCTGGCCCTGTAGATAACAGAAGTTACCGAGGCTGCTGTAAAGCACTGGTGTCATCTGCCATAAGGATGAGTCGTCCGGACTGAGAAGCAATGAAACGAAGAGTTTGGGATAAACAAGCATGATAGTCTGGGGGATCGGGCGAGGGCTGGCCCTCCAGATGGCAAAGATCCCCAGGCTGTTAGCTACATCCATTCTTATCTTCCTGAGCAGAAACAGGTGGGTATCTTCTCCATAGAGGAGATAATTGTATGTGTTAAACATTCCTGGTTTCTCTAGTGCTCATGTGTGAGCACCAGGACCTTGTGTCCTCCACAGGGTTGATGCCGTGTGCTTCCGTTCCAACATGGTGCAGATGCAGCTGCTCTGCACGTACCTTGGAGCAGTGGTTCTCAACCTGTGGGTTGCAAAAAATAATTTTATGCCTGGGGGTCACCACACATGAGGACCTGTATTAAAGGGTCGCTGCTCAGAGGATAGCAGAGCATTTGCTGTGGCACCGATAGGAATTGCTCATCAAAGAAGATGTCAGGGATCAAATCAAGAGGTGAGAGAGATAAGCAACGCCATAGTTCTCATTGCTGAACCCCATTCACCTGGATTTCACCCTCCTTCACAATTCTCTTCTATGTGTCCCGCCTTTTAAAAATGTTTTTTTCTTTGAATAAATTTTTAACTAAAATACAATTATATCACTTCTCCCTTACATTTTTCCCTCCAACTCCTCCCCTCACTCTGCCCCAGATTGACGGCTTCTTTTTCTCTGATTATTATTGTTACATATAAAATTACACATGTATATTATATATATATATATATATCAATGTATTATGCACACGTATATGCACAAACATATAAATTCAACCTGTTTCTGTTGTTTATGTCTATATAATTTCAGGGCTGGCCAGTTTGTATTTGATAAAGAATTGGGGGCTCATCCCTAGAAAGGCTAATTCTCTCTCTCTCTCTCTCTCTCTCTCTCTCTCTCTCTCTCTCTCTCTCGTAGTCATTAGTTGCCTATGAGATTGGCTCCCATGAGATTTTCCCCTTTCGGAATTAACATGGCTATTGAGATTGCTATTGCTTAAGTCTTGTTTATGCACCCATTTCTGGGAGACACCATCTCACACCAGACTTCCTGGTCCTCTGGCTCTCACACTCTTCCCCCCTCTTCCATGATGTTTCATGAACCTTTGGTGCAGGATTTTTGTGTTGTAGATGTTTCCAACGGGACTGAGCTCCCCACGATCGTTGGTCTCTGTAGTACATCTAGTTGTGGTTGTCTATGATGTCTCTTTTTCCTGTAAAGAGAAGCTTCTTTGATAAGGGGTGATTGCACTTACTTGTGGATATAAAGATGTTTAATAGTGTAGTTGGGAATTCCGTTGATCTAGTAAAGTGGCAGTCTTAGGGTCTCTTAAGATATATGACCTCGCTAGCTCTGGGTGGCTGACTAGATTTTTAATACCAAGCATTATTTCCCTTCTACTGAATGCCTTATGTCCCGTTAGACAGCTGTTGGCTCCACCAAAATGTGCGAGCCACTATTGTACCTTTAGGGATACCTTGGCATGCTGGTCATTGTCGTGGTTCATAGGCATCACAACTGGATACAATTATTGACTGTATCCTTTCCTTGGTAGCTTGCAGAATACTTTCTATTATGCTGGCAATTAAGTTTCAACACATGAATTAGAGAAATATATTCAAACCATAGCACACAATGGGAGAGACTCAATCTGGAGGCAGCAGAAGGGTTCAGCTTTATCATGCAGACAACTATGTACGTATGAGATGTGTGAGAACACTTTCATGACGCTGAGTATACATAAACTGCTAAAACAGAAATAAGTGTCTCTGAAGCCTTAAATTTCACACTAATGAGAAAAAAATAAGCCAACTTCCTTAGGCGATTGCTAGTTTCAGTGTGTGGTATAATTTGCAGGATTTTACATTTTGCATGATTTATGTGTTACACAGTTCACTAATTAAAGCTCTCAAGATAAAAGCAGAACAAGTGTATAGAACATATCACAGGCTGGTTTCAAAAGAGATGATCACATTTTGTTGCCTGATGATTACAGGCAGCAGAGGATCCACAGGCCATGAGTATCCTCATCCTGTATGTTAAAGGTTGGGACTCTGCAATTAAATTTCTACTTGGTCTACTTACCTGCCAAATGAAAGGTAACAGAGACCATAGATCACACAGTTGATGGTCTTAAGTGAAAAATACATGTAAGAATGTAAATTACTGCTACATCTTAGAAATACCTGTGTAATGTAGACTATGAGGTTGATGACAACATTTTTTTTTTTTTTTTTTTTTTTTTTTTTTTTTTTTTTTTTTTTTTTTTGCTTTTTGAGACAGGGTTTCTGTGTGTCTTTGGACACTGTCCTGGAACTAGCTCTTGTAGACCATGCTGGTCTCGAACTCACAGAGATCCACCTGCCTCTGCCTCCTGAGAGCTGGGATTAAAGGAATGCGCCACCACCGCCCAGCGATAGCATATTTCTTTTGACCAAACTGCTCACAATTATAACAATTCGTTAGTTATAATCTTGACATGTAAACAAATAAGTCATGTTATCTGCCTTTGGGAGAGGGAAACATGTAATTAACTCAGGTTGACTGTTTACACCAACAAACTAGAGGCCCTGGGGACTGGACAGAGGTAATGAGTGGTCCTCTGAGACTGAGGTTCAAAGGAAGACAGCAGAGGCAGATATCCTTACTGACTTTTCTTCTTTTCAGCCAGGGTGGGTGAGGGTTGATCAGTATGTAGGGAGACACTGTAACCACGCCTCCTAAGGACTGGATGCCTGTTAGGGCGTGCTCAAGGTGAGGTCAGGATGAGGCATGATAGGGTTTTAAGGGACTGCAAGGCACATGGGAGCCCTTCTCTCTGGCCTGCTTGCCTTGCGGTCCCTGGCACACTCTAGCTTGCGTTTGGCTGGTGTTTATCTGAATAAAGATATCTTTTTTTGTTGTTGTCTCTTTTTTTGTTTTTTGTTTGTTTGTTTGTTTGTTTTCGAGACAGGGTTTCTCTGTGGCTTTGGAGGCTGTCCTGGAACTAGCTCTTGTAGACCAGGCTGGCCTCAAACACACAGAGATCCACCTGCCTCTGCCTCCCGAGTGCTGTGATTAAAGGCGTGCACCACCAACGCCTGGCGAATAAAGATATCTTAACCTTATGGACTACAGGTCATTTTGCTATAACTGCAGGCAGGCTTTCTGGATGTTCGACGCTGTAACTGTTTTCTAGTAAGATATTCTTGCTTCCCACTCTCATTCCTTGCCTCAGAGTAGTGTCCTCTTTGCCTGTATTGTACTTCCTCCCAACCTCTGTATCTACCAGCTTTCAAAGAACCAGCCAACATCTCATGTCCACCTCTATAATTGTAAATGGCTATTCTTTCTCACAGCTTTTCCTTCTTTCTCCCTTACAAGTACACTGTGCACATTGTCCCCTCCAACTGTACAGGGAAGGAATATATCTTTTCTGTATTTCCTTCACTTCCTTACTCTCTGGACTTAGTAAACAGGCACTAAGTTTAACAAATGGGTTAGTAAAAAGCTCCCGAGAGGACAAGTTTCCCTCCTTCTCTACAAACCCCAGAGAAGGGCTCATGGTAGCTGCTCACCTGGTCATGTCTTCTCTCACCAAACAGCCTGATTTAGGTCTTCCAGGGTTTCCCATTGATCTGTGACCCTGGGGGAGGGAGCACAGAAGTCGTTATGGTGTACTAGAAAGTCCAGTTCATTTTGCTCATTTGAAATAATGAAGCAGGGCCTCTGGAGCATTATTTGTGAGCATCTGCCTCTTGCTGAGAAGACAGTGATGGACAGTTTCCTCATGGACAGAGCCTCTTGCTTCATGACATGGTGTTGTTTTGAAGACTCAAGCGCAGGTTGCCTTGAGACCCAATGGCGAGTGCATTGGCTTGCCTGAGGATTGATAGAGGGGGCTTGAGTTAGTAACCCCCTCTTCCTGATAGGGAGGTTCCACCCACCCCATGCTCCAACTGTCACTCTCTTAACTGTCACCCAGATCTTGCTTCTCAATCCTACCACTTGCCTGACTGTTCTTTGGATGGCTGCTGGCTCATGAGTTAGGAGAGCTTCATGAGGACCAGGTGAAAACCTCATTTGTGTTTCAGGGGCCAGCCAAACATACTTCCTTGAGGAAAACTCAATGCTTGGGGTTTTAGTCGCTTTTGTCTTTGAGTGCTTTGAAAACTCTTGCTTTCTCTCCTGTTTTTTTAGGACACTGTAGACACCAACTTGGGTATTTGAACATCTTTCAAGGACCTTCAGCTTTACATGAAGATTGCATTCTCAAAGGAGCGCCAGACTTTATCATAGAGGGAAATATTTCTTTTTGTCTTCAAAATGTAAATATACTATTATTGTTACTATTATTTGGAATAAATAGTCACTGTAAAAATTCATTCAAGTATATTCCCAACTCAGTTGTATCAGAATAATGATCAGTCCTGTTTGTAGTATTTCTTTCCAGAGAGGGGGAAATTTCGCTTTCTAAATTCAAAACTGTATCATAGTGAACTTCACATTGGTTCATGTATATGTGTATGTATATGTTTTTGTGTTGGAACCAAAATTAATTTAGCTACTTCCCTGCTCGTGGGTAGTGGACTGTGGGACATTTTTGCCAGTTATAAATAATGAATGATGTGCTGAATCCTGATGTGCCTTTGCCTTCATGTGTTAATGGAATAAATTACCCCATCTACAACCATTGGCTCTAAAGTGCTACACATTTGGAATTCTGGCAGATATCACTAAACTATCTCTCCACAGAGAATGTTATATTGCTGTTAGATGCTGTTCATCAAGTGTGACAATCTACTGTACGTAGCCAGCTGACTTAAGCTTAGGATCCATGATTGCTTTAGAGTAACAAAAATATTTTAATTTTGCTTAAAATCAAGAGAAAATTATGAACGTAATAATGGATAACTTCTGATGATCCCACTTTGGCTTATACCAATATTTCTACCTATAAAAAAATGTCATTTTAAACAAAATATGTTTAAGTGTATAATTATTGAAATTGGATATATGTTATGTTTTGTGGAAGAGGGAGCTCTGTAGAAGAAACAGGTATTTCATGACAGTCATAAATGTGCCTATGGGTTATCTATTTCTTTCTATCCTTGTGCCCATGAAAATCATCTTTTTTTTTTTAAGATTTATTTATTGTGTATACAGTGTTCTGTCTTCATGTATGCCTTCAGGCCAGAAGAGGGCACCAGATCCCATTACAGATGGTTGTGAGCCACCATGTGGTTGCTGGGAATTGAACTCAGGACCTCTGGAAGGGCAGTCAGTGCTCTTAACCTCTGAGCCTTCTTTCCAGCCCCCGAAAATCATCTTTTTTATGCCAAAGAGACATTTAACTACTGTCTTTATTTGCAGTTCTTTGGTTGTTTTGTGAGGTGTTATCTCCTAAGGCTTACTGGCTACTTAGAATTTTTTATGAATTGGTTGTTTATGTTTATTTCTCATCTTCATTGGGTTGCCAATATTTACCTTTCTGCAGTATAATAAACATTGCAAATATTTTACCATTTTATATCATATTTATTGAATTTTCTACAATCTGAAGTGTTCTGTACCTCTTTTAATGGTATCATTCTTATAAAAGCTTATCCAAATATTCCTTGTATTTGCTAATAAAGTATCTATGAGTATCATTATATATGACAATATTTTCAGTTCAAGTGTGTATTAGTTACTTTTCTGTAGCAAAGCACCATGACCAAGGCAACCTAGAACAGAAAGTGTACAAGTGTTCAGAAGGTTAGAGTCCTTGATGGCAGAACAAAGGCACGGTGGCAGGCAGCTGGAGCAGCAGCTGACAACTCACATCCTGATCCACAGTAGGAGTCAGAGAGCAAATACAGGGAATAGAAAGAGTCTTTTGAAGCTTCAAAGCCCTCTCAAAGCGACACTTCCCTTACAATCCATGACTCCTAATCCTTCCCAAACAGTTCCACCAACTAGAGACCAAGTATTCAAACATATGAGCCTATGAGAGTCAGTGGGTGGGAGGCATCCCCATTCAGACCACCATAACCTGTAATACATCTTTGGATGACACATAAAAATAAGTATTAAACTATTTTTGTTTCCAAGTGCATAACTAGTTGTTCCAGCATCAGAGGGCATAATTTGAAGTTTCACCTTTATCAACTATTAAAATCTCATATATACATCAATCTGTTCCCTGAATCTCTTCCATCCCATTGATCTATCTGTTGTTACACTGGCACTATAGTTTTAGTCATATAGCTTTGTATTGTATGAATCTGATATGCATATATGTATATACATTTTGATATCTGCTACAGAAAATCTCTACTACATCTCTTAAAGTCCTTTTTCGAATTTGTTCTCATTTCTTCTCATAGATTTATGCCAATGAACTTTAGTGTTACTAGGAAACTCTACTGAATCTTGTAAACTTTAGAGATTAATTGGAGGAAAAGGGGCATCTTTATTAAATGTCATCTGCTTTTCCACCATTCTGGCTTGACCGTCTGTCTACCCTGGCTTGGCCATCTTAGTTTCCTTTTCTTGTTCCATAATATCCCTTGTGAGACAGGAAGCAGGCAGCAGCAGAGGGCACATGCTTGGGATCTGCCAGCTTAGCTGGGCATGGTAGCACATGCCATTAATTCCAGCACTTGGGAGGCAGAGGCACGTGCGTCTTTGAGTTCAATGCCAGCCTGGTCTACACAGTGAGTTCCAGGTTGACCAGGGCTACACAAAGAAACCCTGCCTTGAAAAACAGCAGCAGCAGCCAACAACGACAACAAAAACAGAATAAACAAAAAACAAAATGAAAATAAAAAGAAAGAAAAAAAGGAATCTTCACATGTGCCATGAGATGAGTGGGAGCGTCTACCTTCGCCTTGGCTCACCATCTCATGTGTTCCTGAGACTGGCCAAGCACAGCAAGCCATGCCCAGCTTCCTCAGCCACCATTCCTGGTACCTGCTTTCATACTGACTTCCTCTGTTCCTTATTTTACGCTGTAGATAGAGGGTTCTTTCTAGTCAGATCCCCAACCCCCCTGGCTTGTAAATCTCGGTTCTTGCCCACTGCATTATTTTTCTATTGCTGTGGATACAACTTTGTGCAAACTTAGTGTCACAAGACATAACAAACATGCAACCTCACAAATTCTGTGGTCAGAAGTCCCATATCAGATTCACAGGGCTAAAACCAAGGTGCCAACATGGCTGAGTTTTGTTTTGTTTTGTTTTTCTGGAGACTCCATGAGGAAATCTGTTTCCTGCCTTTTCCAACTACTACAGGCCACCTATACTCTGCTCCAAACTGCTTCTGGGATCAATCTTCACAGCCTTTGTCACATTTTGACTTTCTTATTCTGTCCTTTGTCATCTTCCTCTCTTCTAAGTATTATCATAAAACAAACAACTAAATTAAACTTTGAGATTTGATTGAATCTGGAACCATTTTATCTCAATGTCCTTGTGCACATCTGTAGTGTTTCTTTAACAAGCATAGTAACATTTCCAGGGTCCCTGGAGAGGGATGTAGAATCATTGGGGTCCTATAATTCTTCCTGACTTACTGATGTCATTGAGTAACTCATGCCAGTTTCTTTAAATTATTTTCAGCCCCCTTCCCTCAAGGGACAAAATCCCACGAGTCCATGGTTTAATCTCAGCACACTATAAACTTGCCTATTCTGGAATATGAGCATCTTCAGTTTCTGGGGCCTGTATTCTATGCTTCCTCCAGTCCTGGTCCAGGCTGACTGCTCTATCTGGGGAAACCTTTCTCCGTCTCTTCATTCGCCCAAGTCCTATGACACTTCCATCCTTGCCAAATAGGTCTCATTCCCCGGGAATGTCTGAAAACCTCTTCTCCTCCCAGTCTTTTCCTCTGGGCATCGTGTCATATCTCACATCCTCCCATGTTTCTGGGTTTCTTACATTGTTTTAAATATTGCTGTTCATCTGAATCTTTTCCTTGAACTCCTTACTAAATGAATTAAAAGATTAATTCCATAATAGAAGGCAAATTATTTTTTCTCTACAGCAGTGCTTCTCGCCCTTCCTAATGCTGTAACCTTTTAATACAGGTCCTTGTGTTATGACGACCCCCCAACCATAAAATTATTTTCATTGCTATTTCATAACTGTAATTTTGCTACTGTTACAAATCATAATGTAAATATTTTTTGGAGATAGAGGTTGGTAGACGGGGGTGGAGTCCCACAGACTGAGAACCGATGCTCTGCAGGATCCGACTTACAAGTAGTATCTGCTCATTAACAAATTAACAAATATTTATTATATGTTGATGTGAAATCATTAAAAATAGGAAATAATCACTTGAAAGTTATAAGAATAGTGAGGTAATAGGGGTGTGGTCATAAAGACATGAATGACAGGTCTTCTCTTCCAGGAAAATAGACTTGGAGATCAGTGAGCCAGTCAACTTTGGCTCTGGAGATCATCAATACCTGGTTCAAAAAGCAGCAGTTAAAGGTGGATCTTCTAAAGTGGATCATCCCTTCACATATTCATCCAGAGACACGCCACAGGAAGCCATAAAATACCCACATTCGAAGCACAGAGATGCAGCAAATACCTATGCAGTACAAATTTCAGAGGATGTTATCACAAATGAGGGCAGCATGGCTGCACCCAGTCCCTTCGAAGACGTGTCTATCCGTAGAGGTAAGAGGTGGTTGGGTTTGGAAGGAAGCAATGTTTTCTTAAAACAGCTCCATGTTGTGTGTTGTGATTTTAAAAAGCAGTGCTCGAGCTGGGTGTTGGTGGTGCACGCCTTTAATCCCAGCACTTGGGAGGCAGAGGCTGGCAGATCTCTGTAAGTTCGAGACCAACCTGGTCTCCAGAGTGAGTGCCAGGATAGGCTCCAAAGCTACACAGAGAAACCCTGTCTGGAAAAACAAAACAAAACAAAATAACAACAAAAAGCAGTGCTCGAGAGAAAGACACCATACAATAGAGCTTGGGGGGAGGGTTTTTGGTTTTTTTTTTTTTTAATTGGGAGAAAGTGAATAGGAAAAAAGCAGAAGGGGAGGAGGACAGGTGGTGCTTTTAGTGGCTGCAGCTGAGGACGCATCCTGTCAGAACCCCAGGGACAGGCCATCACAAATGCCTGAATACTAACAGGGTGTACTGCCAGAAAGAATGAATTCTCTTTTACTTAGCTCTTCTGCTCTTTATTACTATGAAATGCATCATAGGCTGCTGTAAGAGATCTCCATAATGTTGTCCAGGAGATTCAGAGATCCATAATAAACATATGGCCAACAACATTCAGATTTTTTAGGAAGTGTGAGTTAACTGTCGATTATGAAATGTTTTGCCTACATACAACATAATATTGGCCTAGGTCTTTAAAAAATTAATTCCATGTCCTAGATATTGATTCTGGGCTAAGACAGGAATATATTCATCAGAGAACAACAGAAATATTAAAAGTTGTGACAAATAAATGAGAACCTTTTCTCATATAATATGGTGTTGGAGGGTAGGTAGCTAAGGCCAGTGCCATGGTTCCCCATGTCCTACGTGCTTCACTTGGACCTTCTTGGGACTTGGATAGCTTGCAGGTCTTGGGACCTGGATAGCTTGACTCCCAGTGATGCCTCTCCCTGGTTCTACCCTTGCCATAGCCTGGAAAGGGGCCTTTGGGAGACTGGCATTTCAGGTTGGTAAGGGAAAGGGCCAAAGACCTAGGGCCAAGGGCAGACAAAGGTTCTCACAGCTCCAAGAAGTCCCATTCATGAGAGGAGTCCCAAGAGTTCTCCAAACTGGACCTCTTTAGAAGCTTCCCCAGAACTAGGTTCCTGCAAGAGCTTCATCCACCTGCCATCCATTCCACCTGAAGCACACGGAGGCTCCGTCTGTTCTTTCTTTGCTGCACTGATGATCATGTTTCACAAGATCTGGTCAGAGCATAATGTTGCCAGGGCAGATATGTGTCTAACTGGTCAGCAGCCTGGATGCAAAGACCTTCATAGTACATGCAAGGGCAGGGGCTCTGCAATTAGTCTTTACAACTCTCAGAATGAAGTTGCAGGGTCCTATTGGAGACGGAGAAGCCATAGTTAAAGAGGAAGAACTGAAATACGTGTAGAAACCCTCTCGCCAGGGTTAATGCTTTACACAGAGTCTTCTGGAGACAGGCGAGCCTTTCTCTGCCTTCACAAGTCGCACCGTGTATGAGGTGAACATGGGGCAGAGGAGATGGAAGGAAGAGAACTAGCAAGGTAATGGGGGAAGAGTTCTGGAGGGAAGGCCTGTAATTCTTGAAGGCATCTCATGAAAATACGCCTTAAAGTTCATTAAGTGCAACCATTTTAAGTGTACAGTGTTTTCAATAAATGTATAATTTTGCAGCCAGCACTGTAATCTATTTGGGATCACATTTCCCACTTGAAAATGCAACCCATCAGGAGTTACATCCATCTTCCTCTGCCTTGCCAGCAAGGGAAACAGAAACCAAGGAACCAAACAGTCACCCAACAAGACAAGATAACAGCACCTAGAATTACAGTCTTCCCAAACCCAGATGCTTAGATGCCAATGTGAAAACACAATAGAATCTCGGACAGTATGTCTCCACCAGAGCCCAACAACCCTATCACAGCAGGTTCTGAGTATTTCAACATAACTGAAGCACCATAAAAGGACTTTAAGATAGCCGTAAAATTTCACCCAACTACAAAAGAATATACCTTCTTCTCAGCATCTCAAGAACTGTTCTCCAAAGTGAACCACATACTCAGACACAAATAAGTCTCAAAAGATAAAGAAAAATTTAAATAACACCCTGCATCCTATCTGATCACTATTGATTAAAGATGGATTTCAGCATTAACAGAAACAACAGAAAGCTTACAAACTCATGGAAGCTGAGCAACTCACTACTGAATGGAAAATGGGTCCAAGACATAAATCAAAAAAGAAATTAAAGACTTTCTAGAATTTAATGAAAATGAATGCACAACATACCCAAACTTATAGGACACAGTGAAGGCTGGTCTAAGGGAAAATTCTAAACACTAAGTGAGTACATTAAAAGCAAACAAACAGACTCTTCCTTCCCTTTCTGCCGACTGATCCACAACAAGGCCTAACTCCTTCGGAGTGAGGAGACTACCAGGAGAGGCAAGACCATCCAGAGCTGCGGACATTGAATTCCTGGCCCCCACACACCACTGGGTCACAAGAGGAGATAGAGAGACCCCACCTGCACCCATTGGAAGAAGATATGGGAAGAAGACAGAATAAGAACTCACTCAACAACAGAAAGACCAAAAACAAACAAACAAACAAACAAACTGGAGAAAGCTCATACTAGTAACTTAAAAGCACACCTGAAAGCTCTTGAACAGAAAGAAGAAATCACACCCAAAAGGAGGAGATGGCAAGAAAAAAAATCAAACTCAGGACTGAAATCTTTCCCATGCTTGTTAGCTCTCAATGTGTCTTCTTTGGGAAATACCATTCAAGTCCTTTGTCCATTTAAAAAAACTGTATCATATCCCATGATTCTGTGCATTGATCAGCCTTAGGCTCCACAGCAGGTGCCTTTCCTTTACCTGCTGATCTCTCTCACCAACCTCCAAGAAAATATGTTTAATAATTAGACTGTATAGTCGTTTGGTTTGTTTCTCTGTTTGGTTTCAAAATCCTAGCCTGAAGCATTCCTCCGGCTTCAGCCTTCTGAGTAGCTGGGATTACCAGGGTACATCATTGAGGCTGGCTTTAATTAGACATTCTTTACAAGTTCTACAGAGATCAAAACACATTGTGGAGATGTATGAGAATCTCGAAGAATTAAAACACACACACACACACACACACACACACACACGCACACACACACACACACACTCTAAAAAGTTCTACAAAGTCATTTTGTTTTCATTGTTCAGTGTGCTGACTAAGCCAGCACCTCCTTTCCCAGCCTCAAATGACAATGGGGGCATTTAATTTTACCTTTAGATACCATGTCATAAAACAACCTCTTCTCCACAGGTTTCATCGTGAAGGTATTCATTGTCCTGTCAGTTCAGCTGCTCATCACTATTGCAGTCGTCAGCGTATTTCTTTTCTGGTGAGTCTTTCTTACAATTTAGAATTTGACATGGGAATGCTCATGGGATCAGCTGGCTTTAATTTGGAGTATTTCAAAAAGTATGTTTTTTGTTCTTCATTGTTCATAGGTGATAATCTTCCTATAGACAGGTTTTTCCTGAACCACCTTTTTTTTTTTTTTTAGATTTTATTTATTATTATGTATACAACATTCTGCTTCCATGTATATCTGCACACCAGAAGAGGGCACCAGATCTCATAACGAGATGGTTGTGAGCCACCATGTGGTTGCTGGGAATTGAACTCAGGACCTCTGGAAGAGCAGTCAGTGCTTTTAACCTCTGAGCCATCTCTCCAGCCCCTGAACCACCTCTTAGACCAGCGTGGTAGATGCTAGATTTTAACTTCCTAAGCCGAGAACATTTTTCTTACTCTTCCTTTGGGCATTGTTTTCTTTTTAATTTTTCTCTGAGCTACTTTCTCAAGTGTAACTGGATAAGAGGAAATAGGTGAGATTATAGAAGACTGGAACACTGTTAAATTCTGTAATTATTTGAGGGACTTTAACACATCACCTAATTCATTCTTCTGAAGGTGTTATTTGCAACACAAACCGTGAGTTTATTTCTTTAGCTTAACATAAACCAGTCTCAGTATTTTTTTTTTTTTTGATATAGGATCTCACTGATAGCTCTGGCTGTCCTCACTATGCAGATCAGACTGTCCTCACTATGTAGACCGGGGCAGGCCTCAAGCTCACAGACATCCCCCTGCCTCTGCATCCCAAGTTCTGGGATTAAGAGTATGTGCCATCATACCAGGCCCTCAGTATTTTTTAAAAAGGAAGGTCTTAACCATGTGCTTCCTCTTAAATTTGCTATGTAATTTAAGAAAAAATACCTTTTATGCTGTGTCTTTCTTTTCTCAGTGCTGGGCATTTGAATCCAGGGCCTCACACATGCCAATCGAATACTCTAATGGGAACCACACTAGCTGCCCATTTTTCCATTCAAAAGAATGTTTTAGTGCTTCTCCCACCATTTGTCCTTAGACAATGGGTCTAATGACCTAATGATGGTCATTTAGAGTCTGACCATCCTTCTCATGACACTGTTATACTTCTTTCTATTTTAGTTAGCAAAATTTACTGTTTTATGTAAAACTGTTCTTTTTTAAATCAGCGAACCTGTAAGAAATTGGGTCATCAGCGTCCCTTGGTTCATGTTTTCACTCTTGTAAGTATCATTCATGATTCTATGTACTATTATTGACCAAGATTTTATCACTATTAAAAATGTGGTAAAGAGTAACATTCTTGCTGGGTATGGTGATGCCTGCCTATAACCCTAAGGAGGTGGTAACAGGGGGATCAGGAATTCAAGGCTAGCCTTGACTGAATAAGACCTTTATTCAAAGTAATAAAAACTAAGAACAAAAAAAAGGCATACGAAACCACCTAGGGTAAAGTATAATATTCTTGTATTTTATTTGTTTTTCTTGATGTGTATTTGTGTGTATGTATCTGTGTGTGTCTCTGCATGTGCTTGTTTGTTTGTGCAACACGTTACACAGGTGTCCACAGAGGGCGACAGAGAATGTTGGATCCCCTAGGTCTGTGAGCGGCCCTGTGGGTGCTGGCAACCAAACCCAGGTCCCCCCTGCAAGAACAGCAAGTGCACTAAACCTCTGATCCATCTCTCCAGTCCCTGTATGGAATTCTTTAAAAGACAAAAATCACAGAGATGGGAAGCAAGCTTGTGGGTGCCAGAAACCAGGGTAAATTGTGTGTAGGGTTCACACCAGGCAGATCTTTGTTGAAGTATTAATGGTAAGACAGCCCTGAATGTTAATTGAGGTGGTGGCTACATGTGTTGATTCACAGACTCATGTCACAGTACCATGGTAAACAACTATGTGTTCACATTATACCAGTGTCCCATTAGTGGTTTTGAAATTGTACTATAAATATATAAATCAAAATCATTGGTAAAAATTTCACATGGTTTTAATAGAACTTCTGTTCTTTTATAATTTCCCATGAATCTATATTTTTAACAAAAAATTTAAAGGACAAGCTATCTGTGTGTGGAAACTTAAAAAAAAAACTCATTTTGAAGGCTTAAAATAGAGGTAAGTAGGAAATAGCGATTTAGTTTGCTCTGTGTATCAGGTGACAATACACTTGCCTCTGTGTCCCTCTGCATGTCTGTACACACTGCTCTCGCGTTTGGGAACTGAAGCAGTAACTGGTGGTTTCATATCCCCAGCCCAGCAGTCATGGTTGTTATCATCGTGCTCGCTTGCTGTAGGGATATCCGACGCCAAGTGCCTGCGAACTACATTCTCCTGGCATTGTTTGTAAGTAACTCCTTTGGCAGGGGCGTTAGCCGCCCTCTGACTATCCTTCTGCTGCCTCATTAGCTACATTACTTTCACTGTGGAAACTCCCGGGAGACAAGTAGGGAGCACTTGTACAGAAGCATTAACTTTTTTTTTTAAAGATTTTATTTATTTATTATGTATACAACATTCTGCTTCCATGTATATCTGCACACCAGATCTCATAAGGGATGGTGGGGAGCCACCATGTGGTTGCTGGGAATTGAACTCAGGACCTCTGGAAGAGCAGTCAGTGCTCTTAACCTCTGAGCCATCTTTCCAGCACCCCCCCCCTTTTTTAAAAATATTTTATTCATTTATTATGTATACAGAGTTCTCCCTGCAGGCTAGAAGAGGGCACCAGATTTCATTACAGATGGTTCTGAGCCACCATGTGGTTGCTGGGATTTGAACTCAGGACCTCTGGAAGAGCAGCCAGTGCTCTTAACCTCTGAGCTATTCCTCCAGCACCCAAGCATTAACTTCTTAGGAGACAGCGCCCTCACTCTTAGGGAGTTGGATTCTAGGCCTCTCTTGGATCTGGCAAACTCTTGTCTTTCTTGAAGCCATACAAGAACCCACACCCAAGTCAGGACTGTGTCTGCAGCTAACCCTGGCACTACTTGTAAGATGTATTTATTGAAAAGTCCCTCATGGTGGTAAAAGTCATCTCTGAGCTTAGGTTCTTCCCCAGTTCTACAACGTTCCTCTTGGTGCAGGAGTCTCCCACTGACAGAGCTGGGGCTGTGGTGTGGACCCTTCACTGCTTACATTTCTCCCACAACCTGGTCCCTCCATCAGGCCTCATCACAGCCACAGTCCTGTCACCACTGCCGTTCTAGGCATATCGAATCACGTGATTACCCTTCTTATAGCCAATTCTGTGGGTGTTTTGTGTTTTGTTTTGTTTTTTCTGCTCATGGGGTCTCAGTTTCCTGAGACCCTAGCTGGACTCCTAGACTCCTTAAACCCCAATAAAATTAGAATCTCTGCAATTTCACTCCTGTCACACCAGGCTCAACTCCCCAGAGAGTTCCAGGGCTTAGCATAAGACTGAGTTGCACCTCAGCGTCACCGTCTAATCCTGACTCCCGCAAGAGTCAGGCCAAACCTCGTGCCTCCCAGAGGCTTGGTGTGTTCAGCAGCTGGCTGCTAGAAATAGTCTGGATTGTGTTGATGCTCTTGGGACAGTCCAGCGCCTGCTCGGTGTGACTAGGGGTGGCGTCAGCCTTGTGTTTGTGCTACCTCCGTGTAGTGCTGACCATTCCTGTCTATGAAGACTGACTCGTAGAGCCGGTTCCAAATCGGACTGAAGTGGCTTGCGCCAATATCGGCCACGTGAGGGGATGAGCACATCGTCAGGGAAATCAAATAGAAGGACGAAGAGCAGGGTGGCAAACAGTCGTTAGATTAGTGTGCAAAATGCACTGAGCGTACACTTGAACGCCCTAATGCTGGATTTAACTCTGTGTCTGTTGTGCTCAAAGCGAGTAACTGCACAGGGCCAGCGATGCGAGTGCATGGGTGCCACGCAATGCTTTTGATAATTTACCTGTTGGATGGGCTAGGCCGGGAATGTGGCGGTCTGCCTGCCACCCATAGTGATATTTTCCTCCGAGTGTTGAGGAGCCCTTCTTGGCTACTGTGCTGCTCTGTGGACTGTGTGGTATTTTCCCACCCGCTGCCCCGGCCGCTGTCTTCTCAAAACTTTTTCTTTATCGTTTCCTGGCTCAGTTGTTTCCTGCTTCTCTATCTCCAGGAGAAACCCTGAAGCAGAAGGTGATGGAGACGAGGCAGGGGAAGGGAACTCTTTCTGACCATGTACCCCTGACTGGTCTGGACTGGCTAGAGAGACCAAGATGGTCTCTGTCTCACAGAGGTCCACCTCTCTCTGCCTCCGGAGGGCTGGGGTTAAAGGTGTGCACCACCGCAACCTGGCTATGTTTGAACTTTGTATTGTAAGCGTTTGAATAAATGCGCCCGGGGGTGGGGTGGGGTGGGGGCGGGGGAGGTGCAGCTAGGCGGTAGCATGCTTGCAGAGCATGGGCGAGGCCCTGAGCTTGATTCTCCAGCGTCACCAAAAACATGTTTTCTTAACGAAGGAAGCCAAAGAGATGGCCGAGTTGGCCAAGTGCCATTCAAGCCTGAGGACTGGAGTTCAGACCTACATGAGATCCAGGAACATTGACCCAGGCAGATCCTGGAAGTTTATTGACCAGTCTGCCCCACCAAATCAGTGGAGTCTAAGTTCAAGTCTAAGCTCATCTTAAAATAAGGTGGAAAGCGGCTGAAAAGACAGCACACGTGGAGCCCCACCCCTGTCTGTGTACAAATGAGCACACATACACATAAAATTCTCTCTCTCACTCACACATAAACACATACAGACATATACATCAAAATGCATACAGAAATTTACTTGAAGGCTAGGTGTGATGGTGAACACTTGCGATTCCATCTCCCAGGAGGCAGACGCAGGAAAATCACTGTGAGTCTGAGGCCAGCCTACTTTACAAAGTGAGTTTCAGGGAGTCTGAGTTACACAGCAGAACCAAAACTAAAACAATTCAAAAAATCTAAGAGGGGGGGGGCTGGAGAGATGGCTCAGAGGTAAAGAGTACTGGCTACTCTTCCAGAGGTCCTGAGTTCAATTCCCAGAAACCACATGGTAGTTCACAATTATCTATAATGAGATCTGGTGACCCTTTCTGGCCTGCAGGCATACATACAAGCAGAACACTATACATAATAAATATTTTTTTAAAACTTAAGAGATTAGTTTTTTTTTTTTTTTCAAAGACAAGGTGTGCCCAACAGGTATGGTGGCAGACGCCTTTAATCCCAGCATGCGGGAGACAGAGGCAGGTGGATCTCTGTGAGGTCCAGGTAAGCCTAGGCTACACAGTGAGGCCCCGTGCCAACACAAACAAATAACCAAACACGTTACTGGTCCCTACAGGAGCTTTCCTCATGGAGGCTCTGCAAGTATCCACTAAAAGGGGATATGCTACCCTTCAGGGTCAAGAAATAGTTTTATTCTCTAGATTCAGCTATTTAGGAAATAGCATGGAGAAAACCATTTCAGAAAAAGTTGAGAGAAAACAAGAAAATAGCCACTCTTGCCACACAGACAGCTTTTGTCCCCTAGAACCAGTGACTCCCTGAGGCCCCTGTCCTAAGTGAGCACGCTTGGCTTCTACAGTGACTCCCCTTCCTTTCCCTTCCCAGCCTGCCTGTTTTCTGGCCCTCTGTCTCAGTCTCTCTCTGTCCCTCCCTCCCTCCGTCTCCTCTGTCTCTCTCTGTCTCTCTGTCTCTGTCTCTGTCTCTGTCTCTCTCTCTCTCTCTGATGAATGCTGGAGAAATAGGAAGGAACGGCACAGGAGAAAATGTTTAACAAACCGTATCTTAGGAGGAAGGTTGGGATCAAGTACATTACTAAGGTATCATTTGTACACAGATCTTTTCCCCTGGTGGAAATAAGGACTGCCTTCTTAGATGCATTAATGAAGTAGATCCAGAGGCCTTCACCCATTGGATCTGGAAGTCCAGAAAAGTGACTGAGGACTTTTGGGCCCAGTTCTTTTCCAGCCTCTTGTGGAGTGGGGAGCTCCAAAGCCAGTCTGGTGTCAGTGCTTTGCTTAGGATATGCCCTCCTTTTTGGTCTCTGGGACCAGATGACTTCCCTGGTCCTTCCCAAGTTTCCCAGTGTCCTGTGGGCTGGGAGACCTCTTCAGTTCCCCATCTGCTCGCTATCTGTGGCCCCGAACCTGACTGTGGGTCTGCCAAGTACCATCTTAGTCTCACCCTCAGGCTTCCTTGCCCACACTGCCCACAGCCTGGTTCCATCCAGTGGAGGGAATCCATCAGGGCATCAACCCTGTGCCTTCACCTCTGCTAGGAACTTCCCTGCAGTACCATATCCCAACTCTGTGGTCTCAGTTCTCATCCCAAGTCTGAGGCCTGAAGAACTATCTTATGTTAGCAGGGAACACAGATAGTGGCATTATGCAGGTGTGGGCAAAGCATTAATGGGAATAGCAAGGGCTTCTCTGGTGAAGTGTGTAGGTACTGCGTGGAAGACTAATGGAGAATGTGGTCCACAAATGATCTTTTTACCTTGATTTCTTCACCCACAATTAGTACATAGTTCATGCACTGAATATGTGGAAGCCATTGTACTTCTCTAAGAAGTTCTTACTGATGAGAGGATTTTCTTCCATCAGTTCTAGGGAGAGTGTGATAGAAATAGTTATACCATTTGTTTCCTATAAGCACCTTGTAGCTGTGGCCCCGGGGTTGTGCTCACATCCCTACTTGCTCCCTAGACCCTGCCCAAACACACACATGACTGGTCACCTCTTCTGCAGTCTAGGTCTTGTCCTAATGTGTGGAGAAGCAGGCTGCTGATGGACTGTGCTTTTGTTTTTAGACACTCCTGGAAGGCCTGCTGCTGGGGAGTATGTCAGTGTAAGTCTATGACCCACGTTTCCGTCTCATTGTGTGTGCTTCTCTCTGAATGTGTCCGAACAGTAACCGCGGTCTCTGCTTCCAGCACCTTCAAAGCAGACGAGATTCTCTGGGCAGCGGGAGCAACCACTGTGGTGACATTAGCGCTAACCTTATTTGCTCTACAAACAAAAGTATGTATTATTGCAACAGCTCTTTATCATAAGGGATTTGTTGGCTGTGGTCCTGTGTCCCTCCCAACCCAGTGTCACCCACACCTGCCTCCCTGTCTCAGGGCACCACACCATGACCTTCACGCCTTGTCAGCGATTGGGCCAGGGAGCCTCATCGGGAAGTTGGAGGGTCAGAAGAGAGAGAGGAAGTTAGTTCCATGGCATCCCCACTACAGGTTCCTCTTGGGCTAGCCACATTCCTTATCAAAATTCACTCACAGCTTGTCTTAACATGGCCAGCTCAACACAGCCCAACCCCCAGGATTCCTGTGTCCTTGTCCCTTTGGCCCTACAGGCAGTCACAGCTGCTTACCTAGTTCCTTTCAGCCTACTTCTGGAGGTGGTCCCTTTACACACCAACAACCCTCCTCCTGTGATCCCTGCTGGGGCCCTGGTTCAAAATGGCAGTTTAAAACTCAAAGATTTTCACACATACAAGGACTCAGACACCACTAGTAACCCCCAATATAATTCACAACTGGTCTTATTTTGGTGGGGTACTAGGGATCCGATGGGGGCCTTGTGAAAGCCAGGCAAGCACTCTACAGCAGAGCCACACCCTAACCAATGGCCATTTGTTTTTAACCATGATGTCAGAGTCTCTCCAGGCCTAAGATGCTTCTGGGGACTCAGTGGGCTCTTTTTCCGTGTCCTCATCTATCATTTATGGACACCTGGCTTTAGTAAATGGTACACAGGATGACCTGAGTTTGATCTCTAGCATCCATGTAAGATCTTGGTGTGGTGTCATGGGTTTGTAGTCTCAGCTCAGGGACGGTGGTCTCCCTGGAGTCTCTGGCCAGTCACCCTAGCCTAATTTCTGAGCTCCAGGTCCTAGTGGAGATCTGTTTCAAACCATAAGAAATAATGCCTGAAGTGGACCTGTGACCTCCACACATGCACACAAAATAGAGCTTCATTTTAATTTAGAATCAGATCAGTGTTTGCCATCTCAAGGATGGTCCTAGTAGAAGCCAGCCTATGTATAAACAGACATACCTTCTGACAGTTGAGTGAGGTAGGCATAGGTTCACTAAGCAGTTTAAAGCCTTCTAAATGTCAGACTACTTTCCACAAGGCCCCAATCATTCACAGGTAAAGAATGACCCTAGTTCAGGGAATGAAACTTTCTAAAGACAATTCTCGGTGTGTTTGCATGGATGACTTCAAAAGGCAGCCAAATTCATGTTCAACTAAACTTTTTTTTTTCTAATGAAGTTATGTGGTGGGAATTTATATAATTCTCTACCTCTACAAGACTCCCAAGGAAATATAGTCGTGCACTGAGCTTGAGTTTTCTAATGAACCCCAAACTGTCCCTTAGAGGTGTCAATTAAACAGAATGCCTGCTTGGTTTAAATATAATCAGACCCCATTGTCAGACCAGCCCCTTTGGGCTGAGTGACAGTTTCATGTAGATTCAAGATGCTTAACCTCCCCTCTCGGCTTCTGCTTGCCTTTTAATTTAAGGTGAAGGTTAGGAGTTTGGAAGGAGCGTGCACCTTTTTCGAGTTTTGATGATAGCCAAAAAGGGGCTGGTTATTAGCCCCTTTTTATTATTAGTCGTTATTAGCCATTTCTGATCTTGAATGATGGTCTCCTGCTGACTGTGCTAGCTGAGTGGGTCCTGTTGGGTCCCTGAAGCTAGAAGTCCAACCTAGATGTGACTCAGATACTGTGTTTGGCCAGAGCTGACAGAGGCCCTTCCTGAATCCTAAATGGAACTGAAGGGCTACAGGTCTAAGAAGAACACGTGGAAAACTAACCCTGTGTGTATTGAGATCAGGGGAAAAATGCAAGAAAATATCTTGGATGTTTTCAGTATTTGAAAAAATTTCAGCCCCTTTAACAGAAACAAACTCTAAAATACACAGGTCATCTTTAAAAGCAAAGCCAAGATTCACATTAATAACTGCCAAAATTATAAAATAGTCATTAACAGTCATTTTCAAAACTGTACTTAGGTGGGTTTTTTTTTTTTTTTTTTTTTTTTTTTTTTTTTTTTTTTTTTTTTTTTTGTGGGTTTTTT